GCTCACGAAGTAGTACATTCAAAATAGGGTATAGGAAATAAACTGCCGCCGTTTTTCATTTATTTTCATATCTTATCACCTTTAAATTGAGTTGCAAAAAAAAAAAAAACACACAGAACGTTTTGCAAAACTGCCCTCACTTGCACAATATTAGGTATCTACAGTCCTAATCACCCTTCTCTATAACGCGCGAGCGAGCGGCTTTCTCCGGGTAGCGCTAGACTGGTGGCATTCGCGGAAACTAAGCTAGTCACGCAGCGCAACATGGAACAGTCCGCTCGAGGGGTGTCTCGCCCACTCTATTGGCTTGATAAGCGATAAAAGTAAAGTGCTTTATGATATCTTTTTGTTTTTTGATGACGACATCGTTCATACGCCTTCATGCTTTTGTGTGTTTATTGTTCGAGCAATAATGTTTGTAAAAAGCGTGCGAGCAGCCTTCCGCGTTCGCCGCCAGCTGATAGAGTGGGCAGGGCACACCTCGAGCGGGCCGTTCCATGTTGCGCCACGTGACTAGCTTAGTTTCCGCGAATGCCCCGAGGGCATGTCCTGCAGGGCATGTCAAGCGAAAAACCACTTCGCAGCCTGGTGTAAAAAAGCGTCGGAAGTCGGTGAATTGAAAGACGAAGACGACGACTTCGAGATTCTCGACGTACAAGTTGACAGCCTCAGGAGCCAGCGAGACTGGACTGTGAAGGCAGTCATTGCCGGCGAAGAAGTGGTGTTAAAAGTTGATACCGGATCCCAAGCAAACCTCCTTCCCTACTCAGTCTACAGGAAAGTTAAGGCCAGGGCTCCTCTTCGCCAGAGCGGTTCCATCTTGCGGTCCTACAGCGGAGGTGTGATCAAACAGATGGGTGTCATCAACCAGCAGGTGACCTTCGATGGCCGATGCTGCAGCCTCGGTTTCTTCGTCGCAAAGAAAGGACGTCAGGCGCTACTAGGTCTCCAGGCAAGCGAGTCTTGGGCTGGTGGCCCGCAACGTGGCTTCTGTAACAACAAACAGCTGTGAGCGAATGCTGGAGGAATTTAGCGACGTGTTTAAAGGCACAGGGTGTGTACAACGCCGTTACAAGATAGTGCTACGCGACGGCGGAACCCCAGCTGTCCACGCGTCTCGACGCGCTCCTTTGGCCTTACAAGAACAGCTGCGCGACGAGCTGAAGAGAATGGAGCAGGCTGCCATAATAACAAAAGTCAACGAGCCAATGGACTGGGTAAGTCCGCTCGCGATTGTCAAAAAGAAAGACGGAAAACGGGAAAACGTAGAGTTTGTTTGGATCCAAGAATGATCAACGCGTGCATTAAGCGGGAGCACTACGAAATGCCGAGACGCGAAGATATAGAAGCCGAATTACCAGGAACGAAAGTGTTCAGCCCGCTGGACGCGAAAGCTGGGTTCCACCAAGTCCCTCTTGATGAAGAAACATCGAGGATTTGTGCGTTCTCTACTCCTTTTGGACGATACAGGTTTCAATGACTGCCTTTCGGAATCTCGTCCGCATCAGAGGTATTTCAAAAGACTTTGAACGAAAGTTTTGACTCTCTGCCCGGTGTTCCCGTGTACGTTGATGGTATCTTGGTGTGGGGAACGTCCAGGATTCAGCACGACCAACGACTAAAAGATGTGCTTGAAGCCGCCAAGCAAGTAGGACTAAATTTTAATCCGGAGAACTGTGAGATCGGAGTCTCGGAAATGGAATTTTTGGGCGATAAAATATCTCAGGAAGAAATAAAGCCAAACCGGGAACATATCAAATCTGTGAAACTGATGCCGATTCCATCCGAAAAACTAGGCGTGCAGAGGCTGTTGGGTGTAGTCAATTATTTTTCCAAGTACCTTTTCTCGTTGGCCGAGAGAACACCTCTGTTGCGAAGCTTAATTAAGCACGACGCTGTCTTTGAATGGACGCCTAACCACACCGAAGAGTGGCAAGGCATATGCGAATGTCTAAGCAAAGAACCACTTCTTGCAATGTTTGATCCGGGTAAAGATACGAAAGTAACGTCGGAGGCGTCAATGAATGGTCTGGGATCATCGCTTTTACAGCGTCATGGCGACAACTGGCGTCCCTTGACGTACGCATCGCGGACGTTAACTTCAGCCGAGTAGCGTTACTCGCAAATTGAAAAGGAGACCCTAGCAGTGAGCTTTGGGTGTCAAAAGTTTCACTACTTCGTTTATGGCCGCAAGGTAATTTTGGAAACAGATCATCGGCCATTGATTGCAATCGCTCAAAAGGCAATTGGAGAAATGCCACCCAGATTGCAAAGGCTTTTTTTTGCGGTTACTAAAATATGACTTCGTTATGGAATATCTTCCAGGGAAACAACTCCTTTTGGCCGACATACTCTCAAGGCTCACGAACGACAAGTCACGAGATGACACAACCAGCAAGGACGAGGTCGAAATGCACGCCGTGAGTGTAGTAACAGCCTTTGTCAGCGCTACCACAATGAAGTGAATTGCCGAGGGAACCGCTAAGGACCCGTATTTACGCACCGTGATACAAAGTGTCAGCAACGGCACGAGAGTCGAAGGAGAGCTAAAGCCTTTTGAGGGCGAGCTGTCAGTGGTGAAGGGTATTCTGCAGAAAGGCACAAAAGTTGTCGTACCCGAGGCCATGCGACCCAAGATGTTGAAGAGAATTCACCAAAGCCACATGGGCCTAAATAAGTGCAAAGCGAGAGCACGTCGATTCGTATTTTGGCCAGGTATTAACGCAGATGTTACATCTCTGGTAAAACAGTGTGGGATATGCAGACGCTACGCATACAATCAGCAAAGAGAACCCCTTGTCTTGAGCCCGACACCGAAATTTACGTGGTACAGGGTTGGTGTTGATCTCTTCCAGTACGGAGGAAAATCATACTTATCCGTATATGATGCTCTTTCCAAATTTCCAGAAGTGGAGGAACTAAACAACACGTCGTCAAGCACAGCCATCGAGAAGATGGCGGCCATATTTGCGAGATACGGCATCCCAGTCGAAGTATGCAGTGGCAATGGAACCCAGTTCTCAAGTCGAGAGTTCACCTTGTTTGCTCGCAAGTATGACTTCAGACGCATAACGTCAAGCCCGGAGTTCCCTCGGTCAAACGGTTCATCAGAGAAAGGCGTGCAGGTTGTGAAGCGGATCCTCAAGAAGACAAAAGAAAGCCGAGACGATTTTGGCTGGGTTTGCTGAGTTATAGGTCAACCCCACTAGAAGACGGACGTTCGCCAGGGGAGCTGCTGCAAGGACGAAGGTTGAGGTCAAGTTTTCCGGACTTCGGTGACCAGCCAGGTTTGAAGGTGCAGAAGCACGTCCAGACTGAGTATTCCAGAGGTCTACTTCTGCCATTGAAAGAGGGCCAGGTCGTCAGAGTCAAAAAGAGATGGTGGTCTAAGAAGGCGAAAGTTGTCGCCAAGACACGCCCGAGGTCGTACCAAGTTTTAACCGAGGACGGCAGGGTTATTCGGAGGAACACGCAACATCTGCTACCGACAAGCGAGCCTTTCAGACCGAACACACCGCAAGATGACACACCGGACGAGGAAACTCATCCAGACTTACCGTCGGTGGCATCACCGGGCCATGCTTTAGTGCCTTTAAGCAGGCGTTCGCCATCGCCTCCACGAAGATCCCAGCGGCAAAGAAGGCCTCCTATGCGACTACACTAAGACTGTAACTTTAATCAAGTGCCTTAATGTGTTTTCGCTTTTTTATTTGTTTTTTAACTAACGTGATTGCAAACATTAAAGAAAAGAAAAACAGGGGGGTGTATCGTATTGCGCTATACAAGATAGCCACATGACGAAGCGATGAGGTGCTCGCGCTACCAACGCGAGCGCCCGGGACATCGTTCGGAGCTTTTGGGCTGAATGGACACACGCTGGACACTGTGCGACTTAACATAGAGCTGATAATTATGTCGCAATGATAAACATCGATACACCACGACGGAGACCCCTGCCGAAATAAGCCCGCTGTGGGTCCAACGACGGGAGCCCACTGCCCAAGTAGAGCTACTGTAGGTTCCCCGAGGCAACCCAGGTGGCCTGCCCATGTGGGCCCCCTCTGGCCAGACTTACAAAGCTGATGTGGGACCCATGTCGCCTCACCTTTGTGAGCCAACTTTGTGCTACCTGGGTGAGGCTAAGAAATGTGGCCATGGGCGGCGCAAAAAAAGAGGTGATATTAGATATTTAACTGAAATATTTCAATTAACTTTCCAGTTTCATATTTTTGGGGGCATAATATAGTTAGATAACTGACGCTCGGCATCATGGCAGTCTTAACTTGACGCGAAATATTCATAAAAAGTTCCTAATGGGCTGTATGGGGCGAGAAATGCCGCCCATGCACACGGCTCCAAAACCGAAAATAATCAGCGAAACGCGCCCATGATGTGGATGTCTTCGTCCTGAGACGGCTCTGCAACCCGCGCGTCCACGCCGCAGATGGCGTCAGACCTACGCAATTGCAGAGCAGAGGGATCAACGTGCCGATCGCGCTTCGACTGATAGTTTCGGCTTCGAAGCCGTGTAAAAGTATGACAGTTCTCGCCTTGAAGCACCCCCCAGAAATTTTTATTCAAAAATACAAAGTCACAACGAGACCACAATGTGTTCAAGCGTTAATTATCTAACTACGTAATGCCCTGAAAACTAGCTCAGTAATTAACACATTTCACGCCTTGCAGGTTCGGCCATTGCCCTCAATTAAACAACGCAACATAAAAAAAAGTATAGAGCTCAATTAAAAAAACAGTTTGCATACCTTTACCTGGTTTCTGTGCGCACGCGTATTGCCCACGCCTGGTGTGAGAAAACGCGTTTGTTTGTAAAAATCGTGTTGGGTGCATACGTGTATAACTTCTACAAGTTATACTATTCTATGCTCGGTTTTCTACTTCTTTGAGGTAGAAAACCGAGCATTCGGTCTCCAGAGATCGAGTTGTCTTTTATCAAGCTGGCAACGGAGAACTCGAGACTCAGCGGGAAGAAGTACACGTACAGTCCCTTGCGCATCGGTCGGAGCCTGGTGCGAATAGCCTTGAAGTCGGGCCTCGCGTCGGGGTCCTCCGCCCAGCAGTCGACCATGCAGTCTCGGACGCACTCGGTGCCTTCTCGCTCGGGCAGGTCCCAGAGCTGCGGCCTGAAGGGCACGGCCTGCTTCTCGGGCCACATCACCCGCCGCACCATCTCTGCGATGGACGATAGGATGTCATTCGCACGTAGAGTTAAAGGGGAGCTCCGACGGCTTCTTGGCTACCCACACTAAACTCTATTTCTGATTACGGAGGCTTTACTCTTTAGAGCACATTAGTGGCATTCTCTGAATTTAAAGCAGCTATTGAGAAAACGGGAAAAGAAAGCTCATCTTTAATGAAACATTTCAATTTTGAACGCCTTTAAGTGGGGTGACGTCACAGGTCGTATAACTTGCAAGTCGGGCCGGCAGTCTTAAAAAAATTAATATTATTATTATTTTTTTTTTTGCTGGCATAAATTTAGTGAGATTCATTTGACACCATCAACCGGTTTGAGACAGAACGGGAAGAGTGCTGTAATGGCGCGATATTGCCCTGTAGTACAATGTCTGACGTCACGTTCTCAGTGTCTAGGTTGAGCCTCTCAGCGTCTGAGACCAAATATAAAACTTGAATAACTTATGCGAACAAAAAACATCGTGGCGTTTTGTTTAGGTTAATACTTCAGATGGGTCTATTAATGCGTTGATGCACTTTTGAGCCAGATCGCTTAGTATTAAAATTTAGGTGAGACTCAATTTTCCGTATGGCAACTATCACGACACCATGAATGCCTTTTTTGGCGTCTCACCAGATGGCAGCAGTGACGTCCTGCCGTAAGGGCCCTGCCTACCCAGGACCTCGAAGAGGATGATGCCGAACGAGTAGACGTCTCCCTTCTGTGTGCCCCACAGGGGTGCCAGGGCGTCCCGCAGGAGCTCCGGGGCCCTCCACAGGAGACCTGGGTCCCCCCGAACAGTCAAGGTTATTGCTCATATTTCCAAGCAAAAATTCGCTTTTATTTCATACTGGAAACTGATGTCTTCAAAAAAAAATGTATTGTGGATTAAGTAAACAGGACAATTTCGTCACCCTGATTGGCGCACTTTCAATGACGTTACATCGCCTGCTTTAAGGATAAAGAGAGAGTCGGGGAAAAAATAAAGCCGTTTACACCTCCCTGTAACACCGAATTAGAGCGCAGCTCTTGAGGAGACGGAGGGAAGGTTTACCCATCCTCCCTTCTCCTCACCTACACATCCTGCCCGCTACTCCGCCCTCCTAGCGGCGTCGCCGTCGCGTCACGGGGGTCACATCACCTCACCAGGGTCCCGTGACGTCACCGGGGTGACGTGACCTCAAGGGGACGAAAATGATCCCCGGAGAAGGGGAACAAGAGACACAAAGAACAAACACAAATCTCCAAACACAGCTAAGTAACTGGCAAAAGACTGAAAAAAAAAAAATAAAATATCCGCCTAGTCCGGGTATCGAACCCGGGACCTCTCCATTACAGGTGGAGCGCTGGAGCGCGTGTGATCGTGCTTTGCCTGTCTTGTTCCGTTCTCCAGGGATCATTTTCGTCATTCTTGTCCAGCTCGCTTGCACCTTTGCATTTAATTGCATTATAATTATGACCTCAAGGGGGTCACGTGACGATGGCGTCATCACGATGACGTTAACATAATGACGTCACCAGTGACGTCGTCAGTGAGGATGACGATGATAATGCGGACGCCTATGACGTCATCGGTGACGTCACTGAGGACGTCATCAGTGAACATGACCATGCCGTCACTGATGACGTCATTGGTGACAATGACGTCACTGATGACGTCATCAGCGACGTCACCAGGGACGTCACGCGTCCCAAAATGCACCGCGCGGTTACTACGACGCCGACGCCGACGGCTTCGCCGCTCAAGCCGGAAACGGGCGCCTAAGACGTGTGCTTTAAAAAGGGGAGAGGCTTGGGTAAACGTGCCTGAGTGATTCATGCGCTAGTTATTAGACTGCTTTCAGGTATGCTTACGATTATCTGGTGTTGTGTGAAGTCAGAAAAATTCCTACGCCATATCGCAAGCGCCCTTGATGGTTCTCAGAAATCTAGGCTTTCTATACGAAGCTCCGGGGGAAGCGACGTCATCCAGATCAAAAGATGTGAAGTGAGAAAGTACGTCCTACCCGTTTGACCATTTTCTTTAATCCTTTGCGTATGTGTGCATCCTCTTCCCGGCTCTTGCTTAGCGCTGTTACTACTTTTATAAGTCCACGAGCAACATTACCATCACCTCGGTCCCTTTGCTCGTATTTCGCCTTTTTTTCGCAGCTGTGTTTAGGTCACATGCTATTGACTTCCCGGATAAATTGAGCGGGAAAACTGAATTGGTGTATAGGTCACGTTACATCAGGTCACGAGAAGTCATTTTTTTCCAGCAGGAACAGTAAATTTCCCAATGGGTCTCGTGATGTGAGGCCACGTGATATCGAATTTCCCGCTCAATTTAGATTGGAAATTCAATTGGTGTATTAGTCAAGTGACGTTAGATTGCGTTCCGTCACATTCCCCGCTAAATCTCCCAGGAAAATGGAATTGGTGTATAATTCACGTGATTGCAAATTTTACGCTAAGTCTAGCTGGGAAACGGAATTTTGGTATAGGTCACGTGACATCAGGTCATGTTACATAACTTTTCCCGCTAAATGTAGCTGGGAAACGAAATTGTGGTATAAGTGACGTGTCCCTAATTTCTTCGCCGATTTTGGCTGGGAAACTCAATTTTTGTGTAGATCACGTGATGTCAGGTAACGTGAATCAGTTGCCGTCACGTTACCTAAACATCAATTCATTTTGCCCACTACATTTATCGGGAAATGCAAGGACAAATGGAAAGACGGAAAACACTTTGGAAATGGGATTTCCGTTAACAAGCATTTGATGATTTTGAAGAAATGCACCGAAAATAAAATATCATGATACCATACAAAAGACCCAAAAACTTTCGACAGAGCCACTTTAAACTGCTTACGTGCCGGAATGTTTCCGCATTCCTACACGTAGAGCATTCCTACACGTAGCGCATTCCTACACGTAGAGCATTCCTACACATAGCGCATTCCTACACGTAGAGCATCCCTACACGTAGAGCTTTCCTACACGTAGCGCATTCCTACACGTAGAGCATTCCTACACGTAGAGCATTCCTACATGTAGAGCATTCCTACGCGTAGCGCATTCCTACAAGCAGCGTGCCACGTCTTCCTATCGTACACGGCGATGCGTTGGTGACATCACACTCCCAAACTTCACAGGCGCGGCGAACCTTGCAGGCTTCACGGCGGCTTCCGTGAAGAAGCATTGCATTGCTGTGCTTTTATATGTGTTTTATTTCTGAAGCGCGTTCGGTTTGACCTAGAGCGGCCGCGCCGGCTTTAATGACTAAACATCTGATGTGATGCGTCCCAGCCAATGTAGGTGCCGTTTTTCGGGGGTATGAGTTTTTATGATGGATTTTTACGCGGTTACAGACGCCGCCAGCTCTGCTTCATGGACAGCTAATGATTTCGCGTTAAAAACGTTCCTGAAAACAAGAAGTTTTTTTGCCAAACTTCGCAATTCTAGGTCGTTGAAGACCACCTTCCTTAAATTATACGGTCATCCTACAAAGAAAGAATAATAAAAAAAAAACATTGCCGATGCTGTGCCCTATATCTATAAAAGTAAAGTATCGAATATAAAAGTCTTAATAAATCAAGTGGAAGAACTCCATGCAATTTATATTCTGTCTGACGGGAAAAGTACGGCGGAGAACCGTTGACAAACACAACATTTACTTCTGTGAAAAAATGCATATAATTTGGCATATGGTACTTTAATATAGTATTATGTGATATATTCGTCGTATAGGTGCATATGTCTTTTTAGTAGGGTGGCTTAAATGTGAAAAAGAGGAAAGAGACCGAAATGGGACGTCGTTGGGGTTGCGAATAAAAAGCGAGATGAAAGCGCTCACGTTGGCATTGCGCCTCCAAGTCGGAGCTCCCGTGTGGTGGTTCGGCGCCGACCTTGAGCTCAGACATGCCAAAGTCGGCAACCTTGAGCACCCAACGGCTGTCCACGAGGCAGTTGCTCGAGCGAAGGTCTCCGTGGGACCTGAGCGGGCATTCGTGCAGGAAGACCATGCCCTGATACCGGGAGGAAAAACAATTAAATACATTTCAATGGGGCGTATTGTATTGTATTGTATTTATGTGGCGATTCCCTTTGAATCGGGCGTCTACTAAATAGACACGCCAAAAAGATTAATAAAAAATTAAAAAAAAGGTTAGAAAGCGGAGTGTATCCACTAGTTTCAACAATGTACTGCCCACCAGGCCTCGAGTCTCCGCTTCGAGCACTGCACATAAGTGTTCTCCTCGGTAAACCCGAGGGCTTGCTCGATGCGAGCGCTGACGTCTGCTGCCGGTGCGAGTGCCGGACACTCAAGTACCAAGTGGTGTATAATTTCTTCCACTTCCCCACAAGCACTGCATAGGGTGTCGGTCACGTTGCTGTCGTATTTTCGTCGATAGAGGCGGGTACGCAAGGCGTCCCCTCGGGCCTCAGCGAGGAGCCTGCTGCCCAGCGTATTACCACACCAGAGGATTGGAGCAATGGTGGTCTTGAAAGACGCGTAAAGGTGCATGCTTGAGTGTTCTTGCATGTCTGCTCTCCACCGGTTCACCTCGACGGTCTTAATTTTCTCTCTCACCTTGGCAACCCACTCTTTCTTCGTCGGAGGCTCGTCGGACATTGAGAAAGCCCCGTATTTCGTGCCCAGTCGGATGGTACGGCGTCTCCATGTTGTGTGCGCGCCTCTTAGGTGAATGTACACGAAAATCCGCCGTGCCCAGCGATCCCCATTCATGTGTCGCAATCGGGCGTAGTATTCCAACTTGCTGCTGGCCTCCCGTGCCTCAAAGGAGGACCAGCCAAGGTCTCCTTGGACCAGTTCGTTTGCGACTCTTCCATGGCATCCGAGTGCCTGACGTCCGATTTCCCTTTGGCGCCGCTCAAGGTATTCTCGGATCTCGCTGGGGGCACATGTAACGGCATTGGCGAAAGTGAAGCCTGGCACAGCGACAGCTTTCCAAAGTTCACGGGTTAACACATACCGATCGCAGCACCAAAGGCTCTTTCGACGTAGCACATTTCGCTTCCTCTGCGCTGACGCCTTGAGAATTTGATGGTGCTCTGCTAGGTAGTCTTGTGCACTGGTCAGGGTCACTCCAAGGTATCTGTAGCGGCTACTAACAGGAAGCGCAGTGTTCTGGATGGTAAGAGATTCAAGGCCCTCGCCCTGCCCGGAGAAAAGCACCACGGCCGACTTGTTGGCATTGAATCGCAGTCGAAACCGAGCCGCTTCCTCTTCGCAGGCGATCAGCAGTTTTTTCATATCTGAGACGTTGTCGGCCATCAGTGCTAGATCATCCGCGAAAGCGAGCCCGGGAAGCCGCCATTCAACCATGTCTCCGTGTTGCATGTGTCGCAAAGTAAAGCCAATACCTGTGTGTTCTAGCTCCTTCTCCATGCCGGATGTATAGAGCATGTACAGAACGGGGGATAACGGACAACCCTGGCGTAGTCCCCTACGCACCGGAACGTCACCAGAAAAGGCTCCGTTGAACGTTGCCATAACTTGATTTCCATCATAAAGCCGCTTTATTAGCTCCACCCAAGGTTCCGGCATGTCAAGCTGCTGGAGCCGCTTGATCAGCAAGGAATGGGGAACACTGTCGTAAGCTTTAGCAACGTCCAAAAAGCAACAGATAAGGTTCCGCTTTTCCAACCGAGCGATCTCAATGCATATGGTCAGGGTGAACAAGTTGTCATCCAGTCGACGATCTCTGCGGAATCCATTTTGTAGCTCGGTGAGAGCACCAGCACACTCGGCCCAATATGAGATGCGCCAATTAATAATGGTTGCAAACACCTTGTAGGCTACAGCTGTTACAGTGAGTGGGCGGTAGTCACGCAGATGTTGTTTGTTGCCGCCTTTCTTAGGAATGAATGTGACTCGGCCACGCTTCCAGTCCCTTGGGATGGGTTCATCGCCGCAAACTAAACGGCTAAACAGGTGCGCCATTTGGGTGCGGGAATCGGGTCTCAAATTCTTCAGCACCTTAGCCGAGATTCCGTCTAGGCCCTGAGAAGTGTTGCCATTCAACCGCGCGAGTGCACGGTCTACATGCACTCGCCCCACTAGTGATACAAATTCATCATTAGATGCTGACAATGGAACGTCCTCTATGATTCGGCTTTGAGTTTTCCAGTTTTCTGAGGAAATTTCTACATCCGCAACTCCGAACAGAGCATAGAGCTGTGTCTCAAGAAGTTGTCCGATATTCTGAACTGGATACCCACTGTCGTAATCTAGCAGTTCTGGAGTACTCTCTTTGCCAGCCAAAGATCCCAAATATCTCCAGAACTTTTCGACGGCCTTTTTTCCTGCATCTTTGATGTCCGCCATCACCTTGCAGTCATGGGCTTGTATTTTTGCTTCCACAGTGTCCTGCGTTTGTACCTTGCACTTGCGGTATTCCTTCCATAGTTGCAAGGTCACGGGATGTTTTCCAAGAGTCCTCAGTGCTTGCCTATGTCGCCGATTAGCTTCTTGTCGTACTTAGATGAACCTCTTAATTTCGACATCCCACCATGGGACAAGTTTTCGTTTTCCTCGTGCGCTCTTGACGGTGGAGTGATTAGCGATAATGGTCCTGAGCTCTATTGCAAAGTCGTCGTAGCTTAGTGCGTGCATACGGCGGGTGCTCTCGTCAAAAGTTTGGACGACAGTGGATATGTCGTCTTCGCGTATGTGAGTTACAGCTTTGCGTTGTGAACGGCTCGGAGTTCCTCGAACAGTGCCGAAGTGCAGGAAAATGCTGTTGTGATCGCCTGCTGACGCTCCACGCACCTTCTTCGTCTACAACCACCTTTTGAAGATTGCTCCCAAGTCTTTTTGACGCGAGCGCATAGTCTATGCACGTCCGGCGGTCTCGCACTATCCAAGTGTGCTGTCCCTCACAATCTTCTCTTAAGTTCAAGATCTCCAGTTCGACGTCCTCCGCCAAGTCTCTCATCATGGTTCCGTTATTATTTTCCCGTCCATCCAATTCGACCAGGTGGCCATTAAAATCTCCCATTATCAGCACAGAGAGACCTGTGGGCAAGTTGTGTATATCTCGACGAACACACTCGATGATATTGTTATTCTCTTCTTGGCGGTTGTTTCCCACGGAAAGATAAATGATGCAGACGGCTGTCAGCACGTTACCTATCTTTCCGTGTACCCATAGGTGCTCCCTGCAGTTCTCACATGTCCGAATCCACGCTGGTCCGTGACTTGACCAAAGCAGTCTTACTCCTCCTCCTCGCCTCTCTCCTTCAACTCGATTTCACCCAGTCCAGCACCAGGCTGGATCTATAGGTGGTTCTTCCATGTCCCTCAAGTGGGTTTCCGCTACACCGAATATAGAAACGGACTTTGTAAGGAGAGTCGCGTACAATTCAAGCCACTTTCGTTGACGGCGCGTACCATTCATATTGAAAAAACCTACCACAACACTTCCTGGTTTTCGCTTCTTGGTTGTTGATCTTCTTTTCGGAACGTAAGCAGGATCAACTGCGTCTTGTGCTCCCGCTCGCGGCCTTTCTATCACTTCTGATTTTGCATAGCTTCGACCTGCTGCTGGACTACTTGTTGCACGAAGTGTAGCAACTCCAGTGATGGGGGAGCAGGAGGGGGTCGAAGAAAATTCTCGTTGATTGAGAAGCTTGGCCGGAGACCCGGCACTGTCGAAGGTCTGTTGATCTGAGCAGTTGCACTCGGAGCTGGGAAGGACGGAGGAGCTAGGAGGCGGTTGAAGTCTCCGCGGAACAAATTGTTCGGCGAGCTTTCCGACACAGGGGGTGGTCTGTCCCAATAATGAGTGTCCCTGATTGGCGTCATTGTAGAGGCTTGTCTTTGCGGGTGTCCAGGGCATAGCGTGCACGCAGGAGAACTTCGCATTTCGAGTACCGCCAATGGTGGGTATTCCCTCTGGTACTCTGATGCCGATCCTGGGCCGATCAAATACGGTGCTTGCTTGTGGCCAGGGTCCCCGGGCTGCGTATGTGGTCTCATGGTGTGTTCAACGTTCAGCGCCATCTGGTGACTCGAAATGCAGTTTCACACCCGAGCAACTAACGGCGGCCATGAAACGGTTTTCTATTGGGCACAGTTACTTTCGCACCTCAATGGTAGATGAAGATTGGTCTTTCGATCGCGTCGTAATCATTTCTTGATTTGCTTCACTTTCGATATAGTGTGAGTAGGACTGATCAGCACAACGCGGCCACCACATGAGACCCATAATGAAATTTCTATTATAAAAATGGTTTGCAGTAAAACTTGTGCCAACAGAATGATTGGACAGCACTGCAATATAAACGGCGACGAAGCAATTGTATCCAATTTGCGTTTCCTGTTGTATTGAGTTATCAAACCTTCAGGCCTTAAGCGCCCACCGCTTGGTAGCATTACGGTGACGGGAACGCGCCCCCTACTAGTCTGCAGGGTGTCACAGAAGAAAATTTACAGGGATTTTTTTACCGCAAAAATAAACTAGGCATTGCCCAGCGCTCATTCTTCGCCCAAAGGTTGCGCTAGAGGTCGCAACCAGATGCCAAAGTTTCAGCCCGATCCGCAAAAGTTATAAGTGATTTTCTGAAAAGTTCAATGGGAAGATGGCGGCCGACGGAGTTTTCGAATACATAGGGCCCTAGGGCGCCAGAAACCGAAACGGGCAAAAATCGGCTCCATTTTGCCATGGAACTTTTCAGAAAATCATTTATAACTTTTGAATAAGGTATCGGATCGGGCTGAAACTTGGACATCTGGTTGTGACCTCTAGCGCTACCTTTGGGCGGAGAATGAGCGCACGGCAATGCCTAGTTTATTTTTGCGGTGAAAAAATTCTTGTAAATTTTCTTCTGTGACACAGTGTACTTAGCGTCCTATTCCGCCAACGCATCCGAAGTGGACCCTAAGTGGCAAACAATGACGTCACAAAAAACAGTGTTACGCTGTTGGATGTCGCGACCGTGGCGGTTGGTCGTAGAATTGCTGGCGAAAAGCGCGAATGAACGGGAGTGTCGCTGTTGCCATGGCGTCCCAACTTCTGGATGACGAAGCTTCCGTGGATTGGCAAGCTGACGAGCGACAGGCTGCAGAACAGGCGTCTGCCATATCCGCCACTGCTGTTGTCACGCCGCTAAGATCGCGGCCGGCGACAGTGTGACACTTCTGGGACGTCAGCAGGTGGATATCAAGGGACCATTTTTTTTTGGGGGGGGAGCGGTAAACGCATTAGTAGGCGAAGCGTTCCAGGAGCCAGAGTACTATCTCCTACTTCTTACTTCATCATCCTCAAGAAGGCCGCTATTAGTTTGGAACAGATGCCATTCAGCAAAATGATGATTGTGATTAAATTCGCCTGTGTAGATTCTAACATTAAATCCTGCAAACCTAAAAAAAAATAAACTGGAATACTGCACATAAAGTCCTGCACAACTCCTCCTTACCGCGTAAAAGTTAGGAGAGCGCGAGGGTAGCGCAGTGACTCGTCCGACTGTCTGGCTTTGTCTTCTTCTACAACCGGTACCTTGAGTTTCACGGCATTCCTTTCAGCGCCGCGGGAGGCACTGCAAGCTTTGCTAAATGTGTATTACCCCTTATCACATCAGTAGGGAAACACATAACGCGCTGCTTGTTTCATTCCACCTGGGCTCGATTTTTTTATTTTTTTTTTAGTTTGGGGGTGACGTGAAATTCCGCTAAATCTAGCGGACAATAAACTTAGGGGGGAGCGTATTCCCTGTTAAGTTTAGCAGGGAAGTGACACAGAAATACTTATGCAGAAGCTATTTTTTTGTTATATCTAAGCGGGTAAATTGGTGTTACGAACTTCTGCACTAAATCTTTGTGTGCTTGTCTGTGTGTGCAACCATAGTCATAAAAACATGTTTTGTCTAAAAGGCCGTAGGACACGCAAAATCGGCAAATGAATGCGGTCCAGGCGTTGAGCAGGTGCAAAATACTCGTGTCTAATCGAAGACAGCTCTCGAGTCTTTCTGACTTACAAGCTGTAGCGTCATTTTCATTCAGATTAGAAACATTGGGCACCAACAGGATTATGTAAAGAGTGGAGGTCTTTGCTTTTACTGCTGCTGATTGAGCGTGCTGCCCTCTCTTGCTATTTTATTAGACGGGCGTCACGAACAAACAAAGAAATGGGGATTTCTCTAGGATGCATCTGTGCATCTGTACTCCCTCCCTAATGGCCTATTTTCCCGCTGTCGCTATTTCTGAGGGACACTCGCTGACAGCACATGCTCATCAGTTGCGCAGACGGCTATGGCCGCCGGAGAAAAAAATACTCCTTATACAGAGCGACACTGCTAGCGCGATCAAGCTTTCGCCGGTTTTTGCCATCTATCTCTTAGATTCGAAGGTCTGTTATGCAAGCTACTTATAGGATAATGCGGGCTCATTTGGGGCACCTATCTGTAGCGATTAAATGTAATGTCCGCTATCATCCTTTCGGACTATAGGGCTAACGCGCGCCGATGTCGTGTTCCCATTAACATAATCGAGGAGTGAACTTCTCTATTCCTTCGTTTCATAAGTGATTAAGACGGCAATTTCGATTTCTAACAGATCTGACCTTAGACTTTTCAGGTGGCCTCATACAGTTGCAGCTTGTCTTTGTACAGACAACGACATATTAGTGCTTATTTGGACTAACTAGGACGAATGTATACCATACTGGGTGCACCCAGCCAATACCTGTTTTCTGACAAGGATGTGACGGTAATCATTACAAGCGTCGAAACCAAAGAAAGATTGTTACGAAAGTGTGATCACCATTTTACACATTACTGTGAGAAGGCGGGGATAATATTAAATACTTTACAAGAAAGACGGCTAAGTAAAAGAAAAGAACGTTCAGATATTTAATAAAATATAACCAATAAATACGTTATACAATATATAGAGGAAAGGCTGTCTTTTTGGCATTTTCTAATGGCCTTCAAGCGCATGGCGTTCAGAACGACCCTCTCACGTCCACCAGAAAACAACAGTCTGTCTCACACACTGCACACCACAACGAAAGAAGCGTTCGTAAACAGGTGCTTGAGTTGCCGGTCGGCCGCTGTGTAATGGCAACTGGCTTCAAGTATTTGACGAGTCCAGCGCTTCGCTATGAAATCGCGTCACTCGCCCCTCCTTGTTGGCCCTGTTTCGTTCGCCGTTGTCAATTTTGCGCCGCCCTGGTGGTTCAGAAACCCCGCCATTAAGCGCCTAAGGAGAACATCTGGTCGGCTTTGCCGTCCAAGCGCACGCTGTGGAAAGTTCCCGCTCCAAGAGCAGTCGCCGACTGGACACCCGGCGCCGTACATTGTGCGCCGCACGCTCCATTTGCCTTGCTCTATCAGGACTGCATCTCATACTATTAGAACAAAAAGAAAAATAATGATGTCTCGAAATGTTTTTTTGACGCCCCATGAACCCTCAGCTCGTGAAGAAATTTCGCCTCGTACACTATCGACCCCTGGTGCAATAAAACAATAAAAAAGGCAACAAATAACTCGTTATATTAAATCACGGAAGAGCTTAAAGTAGCTTTAGTAGCTTTAGTAGCTCTTCCTCCTCTTTAAGAATTTAAGTGATGCCATTGAAACTATATCAGTGATGCGATTAGTGTTCCTCGTGTACTTAAACCAACTCGGTTATATTTGGTAGACGTTCATATCCTGGTTTATACTCTCCTTTTCTCGTCGAGTCCAACCGCAGTCGGCGCTACGATTCAGTGGAAGCGTGGCCAGTCGCACCCATACGTGCATTGTTAGCGGGCTCGTTGTCTTTGTGGCTTTGTTATCGGCGACAATCACTCGCAGAAAAAAAAAGCTTAGAATTGCGCCGCATTTACTGCGCATGATTGTAGCTCCCAGTGGTAGCAAACGCACAAAAACGACAAATGCCGTGACGTAGCACATTTACCGCCACTCGAATATTGGCTCCATAGGATCTTCGTCGCGTTTGTTCTAACAGTTCCGCGCAGTCTGACTACGCGGAGCGGAAGTTCATCTGCTTCATTTGCGGGGGTTTTGATGACGTCAGAATGCCGAGCTCTGATTGGCTCTGGTTGAGGAATAGTGGGTACACGTCGAGGCAGCTTGCTTTTAGGTTTGCCCACCATCCTTCCAATCGGAGCCAATCAGAGCTCGACGTCATTTTGACGTCACAGCGATCCTTGCAGAAGAGGCAGACGAACTTGCGCTTCGTATACATTCGGCCTTAGCCCACTGGTACGTTTGGCGCTTACCCTGACGAGGTCGCCAACGAGGGAAGCGACGAACATGGCGTCCAGCTTGACGTCTTCGTTCTCTAGAATGTCTGTGAGGCTCCCTCGAGTGCAGTACTCGGTGATGATGCAGACGTTCGGAGGGTCCACGCAGGCGCCGATGAAAGTGGCCAGGTTGTCGTGGCGCAGGTCCCGAAGCTGAAAGAGCCACCCGGAGAAGCGTATGAACGACGATCCGACACTCTTAATCACGCTTCTCTTAAACCTAACATAACCTAACCAAACCCAACCTAACCTAACCTTACCTTACCTTACCTTACATAACCCAATCTAACCTAACCTAACCAAAAGGAACCGTGTTCTGCAAACTTGGTCGTTTACACGGACCAGTGTTTCAGATAATTTTTATATAATTTATACATTACACATATCAGTACTTCAGATGATTAAAAATTGTAAACGACGCACGTAAAAATAAAATTTAATTCTGGAAGCATTAGCATGAGCAGATTGGCGCTTTACGGAAAGGGATAACTGGTACGGTCCAACAGTTGAACGATGATCCCCGTAGCAGGTCCATGTTTGAGGTAAGAAAACAAAAATTAAGCGAATAGAACTTGCGTTTCACATCTATAATCTCCCAACCCACAAAGAATGTGGCCTTTTCCCGAACAAAATGTTTGGAACGCGAATTGAACTGAAGCCTATGCACCGACTCAACTCTCTTACGCCACGCCACTGCGGCGGCGAGGCGATCGGCTCTGCGCATGCGCAAACGGTTCCTCTCACATGAATCTGGTGTATGCGCACGCGCATCGCCCACGCCAGGTGTGGGCGAACGTGGGCCTGTTTGTAGACAGTCTATTAGTGCATGAGAGTGCACTCGAAACTACCTGCTTGTGCCTATGCATGCGAGGGGCTCCAACTTAGTTCCGAGCTGTTCGACCTAGATCACGTGATTCTCGAGTGGCTTTTGTAATACAACCCTATTGAAAAAATTAACTTAAGCTGGTTCCAGCTTCAAGCTGGGTTTTTGCCCCAGCATGCCCAGCTTGGCATGCTGGTCATGCTGGTTGATCTGGTCCCAGCTTCAAGCTGGGTTATTGCCCAGCATGCCCAGTGTGGCATGCTGGTCATGCTGGTTGATCTGGTCCCAGCTCCAAGCTGGGTTATTGCCCCAGCATGCCCAGTTTGGCATGCTGGTCATGCTGGTCATGCTGGTGGACTTCCCAACCAGTTTAACCTGTTTAAATTAATACACAGGATAAACAAGCCAAGCTCTTCAGAAAAGCCAACTCGGCATCCAATTTATTATTTTCATACTTGCGGCCGCCTCACATGAACTCAGATGCTACATATCCTCGGCGCTGACACAGTACTAACCGGCGCACAGAGAGTGGTTCTCGGTGCAAAGTCAACAATGTTAATAAAACCATATTGTTTATCTTTCAACACGAAAAATACTAGACACACGCCAAAAACAGGCAATAGCTAAAGAAAAAACTACTCGGATGAGAGAAGCGAACGTGGGTCCCGCCAGTGATGGGGGCGAAGCGGCAACTTGCGCGGTCGGCAGAGGCGAGGAAATCTGTGTGGCTTGGATGGCATTGGCGATACTCCTCGGCACTACCGTCATTCACGAGCACAAACACGTTCGAAGACACGAAGTGACGCCTCAGTCAGGGAGTCGGACATCTTCCGGCACCGAACGGAGTGCAGCTCGCTGTCTCCTCAAAACCCGCTTCGCTTGCATCGTCGTTCAACTAGTCTTCAAACAACGCGCACACAGCCGTCCCTTCGAAAGACTGCCTAAGATAGCCAAACGCGTCCTAAAATTCTCCGTTCCTACCACTCTCTCTCTTTCCTCACACACAAAGGTAGCTTGCAGTGCGCCTGACGCGCCCTGTCGTCTACCAAAAACGAGAGGACAAAGAACAGGACGTGGCCTCGCTCTATCCTAAGCCGACCTTGGCGCGCGCGCTCCCAGCAATGCCAGTTCGGCTATCTCTAGCCGACCTTGGCGTCCGCGCTCCCAGCATGACCAGCTTGACCACCACGATTATTAGTTCGACCAGATTCACCAGCTTGTCTCCCAGCATGACCACCTTGTCTCCCAGCTTGACCACATTGGCTCCATGGAAAACCAGTTAAACTAGTTAGGACCAGACTGGCTCCCAGCTACACCAGATTGAATCTAAAACCAGATTCTGGTTAGACCATGCTGGTTTTTACTTAAACCAGACTGACCAGCTTAAATTCTACCTTGCCCAGCTTAAACCAGCTTGATTTCCAGTTAAACCAGTTTGATTACCACATTGACCAGATTGACCAGCTTAGTTACCAGCTTGGCCAGTTTGATTTTCATGCTGTTTTTTCCAATAGGGAAGGTATGAGTGGGTGGAGAAAAGGGTCGAGAGTCGTCGGTGCCTAGCACACAGTCTGGCCTCTCCACCTCGGGTCCTCCTAACCACGAGACGACGCACGCCTGCGTACGTGCATCCAACCTTCGGCGCGCGAGGCGTTCACATTACATTTCGAGCGCTCGTCTCCGTGGTTTGAGTCGCTTGCTCTCTTAAATCTAGGCTCTCTGCGCAACTCTAGAGGAGCAAGTGCCATCCAGCGTAACAGACGTGAAGAAGAGATGTGGCGAGCTACCCCGGGACCATCCGAGGGTGCAGCGAAAACTGGTGTGGCCTTGCGGCCGAAATGTGAAACAAATGTAAAGACGGTTGTAGTATACAGGGTGTTTCACGAAAAGTGGACCAATTCGATACTGCCGAAACTATGCGTCGTAACAAAAAAGGCTTGTGCAGTTTTGGTCCTGGGCAAGAGGCCCATTTAGGAAAATTGTTAAAGTTTGGGTAATTAAGCTTCTAATTTTTTTTTTGCGTAATTAACTCTTTTAATATTGTGTTTAGGGGCTTGGTTTCAATTATAAAATTACTGAGCATCATCGAAAAAAACAGTATATCAATACATTGCAGAACGATAGAAGGCACGCGCGGCATTTTATGGCTGTCTGAAAAACGGCGCAACTTCGACGCGATTTTAAGTTTCGGTTCGCAGTCGGAGCGCTTTTGGGGGACCGACGGCAGCGCGCCCCGTTAAAATCGCGTCGAAGTTATGCGGCTTTTCAGAAACCCATAAAATGCGGCGTGTCCCTTCTTTGTTCTGCAATTTATTGATTTAGTGTTTTTGGTGATGCTCAGCACTTTTATAATTGAAACCGAGCCCTTAAACGAACTATTAAAAAGTTGCTTACGCAAAATAACTAAGAATCTAACTATCTTGGACTTTAATCATATCCCTAAATAGGTCCCTGGCCCAGGACCAAAACCACGCAATCGTTTCTTTATGTGGCGACGCGCAATTTTCGCAATATCGAAGTTTTCCTGTTTTCGTGAAACACCCCGTATATATGATATTATACGAACAATTGACACATTATTATTTGCTATAAATTTATTCATTTCGCATTTTTTTTTAAATTTGCTATTGATGGTATATGACTTTACTATTCACTCAAGTGCGTTTTCAACGATGGTAGAAATGTACATGTATTCGTTTTTCTTAAGTACAATTTTTATATGTTTGCAATGTTGTTGGTGAATATTTTGTGGTTATCTTCAAGAACGACCGCTGAACTGTAAAGGGCAGACAGGATATCGACACGCAGAAACGCCCTTTTTCTCGCCCGCCTTTTTGGGCTTGGCTGCATGCAGAGACAAATAAATAAAATATCAATGACGTCGGAGGTGCAAATACCCCACTTGAGAGACAATGAGCAGACGACGAAAGCTCGTGTCCTGGCGAACCTATCACAACATGAAAATGAGGCACGTGATATCCTAACTTCCTCCCGGTGTGAAGGACTGTCATATACATATTTTGGCGTGTTTACTTGATTCACAGGCGCCGTATTTCCCACATTCTGCCGAGTTTTGTGTAAGGCACGAGTGCCGAGGCAAAAGGCCTTGACTGTATATAATAATAATATTAATAATAATAATATTAATAATAATAATATTAATAATAATAATAATAATAATAATAATAATAATAATAATAATATTGATCAGAAGAAGAAGAAGAATATAATTACAATAATAATAATAATAATCGTCATTCTCATCATCATCATCTTCAATTTGCTTGTGCCCACAATCACGACGGTCTGCTGAGGGGTGCCCACTACAGTAACATCACTCACGTAAAAAGTAGTAAAAATCAAACCAGATTGGCTAGAGAAGCAAGACTAAAACATATGCAACTCATGCTGTTGTAATATTCAGAATCACAACATCCATTTACTCAAATCTAAATTAAAATCAAGAAAACAGCTATAAATATTACAGTTATCTCGATGTGGGTTGTCATAATTATTTTGAATCCTTGATTGCAGGAATATAGTGGTCATAGCTGATGGATAAAACGTTAAAAGGTTCCGGCTGACAGGGGTGACGGGACAGGGCGTGAATATCTATCAACCATGATAAGTCTTAATTTCAAGTTACCGTAAACAAATTTTCGCAAAAAAGGGCCTCCTTACCGCTGACTCAGAGAATACACGTCGGCGGAGTAAGGTTTTTTAATGGTTAAAACATCGCCTCTTAATAAAACTGTCCATCACTATTCCAATTATTCGTTTCTGTCCAATTTGTAGAGCAATGATTTGTGACAGGATCAGTCAATTCCAAATGACACAGCCAAATCCAAGCCGTAATCAAGCTAAAAATATATACAGGTAAAGATAAAGAGAAATGATGTGAATATTGGCGACACAGTCGTAAAATTACGTCAAATGTTCTTGATATGCGTACACAGTGACGGAATCATGATTACTGAAAGAACGTCAGCTGTCAGATACAGACACCAAGATCCGTGATTCAAGATACTGGTGGAATCAAGATGCCTTCCATATTATATAAAAAAAAGATAATCGCGCACTTTCTAGAAAACACAGTACATTTAGATTTCTGGGGTTAATTGACAAGGCAATTTATCGAACAATGTTTCGAAACACGTTTTATGTAGACTGGAAAGCAGCAACAATCATATGCCGACTTCACATCTAAAAAAACCCAAAAAACTTAACATCATCAGCAAATAGAAGTGCCCTTGCATCGGTTACACAATAAACAATATTGTCTATAATTAAACAAGAAGCAAAGCGGTTTCAAAATTGACTCCTGAGGCAC